GGAGGGGGGGATGAAAAGGAAAGGAGGAAGGGAGAATGCAGGCTGAAGGGTAATCGTAAACTAATTGGAAGTAAATTCGTCCCCGTGTAATTGCGCGTTTTAATTTGAAGTCACGCAAAAGCGCTCTCGCATCGGCTCGGTCGGACGCCCACGTCAATACGTATACTCGCGACCCTTCATTTACCGTGCACTTTAAAAGGACTGTATCGTAGTGGTAAACGGTTCTGTAATTAAAAGAATTACGTCTTTATCCGGTCGAAAATCAGCGGCAGTGCTCGAAATTTCGTCATGATGATAAAATAAGATCGCTGAAATTCTGATCGTGCCTTCGTCGGCGTCGATGTCGATTTAACCGAATTTTATCGAAGATTCCTGTGTGTGGTGTATCAACGCGATTTAACGGACTAATATAACAGCTGGAAACCAACGTTACGTGTAATAATATTTAAAATGTGACACCTTAAATCTATTTAATATCCGCAACATGAAAAAGATTGTGTAAAATGACAAACAATTATTATTGGCACCGAAAATGTTATAATAATGAAACAATAGAATAATGTATGTTACAAATAATCGATTACATATCGATTATTCAATTCACGCGTTACATATTCATACACATACCACTAATTAGCATATCAAAAGTATCTTAAATAATCAAGCGATGCAAATGTATTTCGAAAACATTTCCCAAAGCGCGTAACATTCTAAAAAGAGATATTTTTAAATATTCAAAAGTGGTTGTCCAAACATTCGCACAAATTATTGTTCATTTATAAAACACCGTATAAATCCCTGCCAAATCATCGATAATATTTATATTAAATTTAATTTAGCACTAAACCTATTTTTGAACTGCATGTTTTATTGCATCCGTATTGCGGCGCAAACGGGAGGTAGTTTCGCGCTGGCAGAAGCATTCGCCTTTTCTACAGAAAATCCCGGATATCGTCGCGCAAAGAAAAGCTCAGAACGAATCAATCCAATCAGAGACGACATTGTGCGGTCCGCTCCGTTCTCTTCGCGCCTGCACCACAGAACTCGCTTCGCCTACGCCCGATACACCCCGGCAAATTAACCGAAGTTTCACGCGCCCCCGCCAAAACTTGATACCCCTGGCACGGCCAATCAAACTTCGAGTTTCGGTAATCCCCGGGCCAAATACTCCCGTTTACACGTTACAGGTTATGGTATAAGACGGCCCCGTTTCCCCGAGTTTCGGTGCCGCTAATACCCAGAGTTTCCGCCGCAAGTTGTCATCCGGTGGCGGCGGCAGCAGCCGACTATAGTCGCGAGAGACCGCGATTTTCTTGTCCGAGGAGGAGAGAAAGGAAGACGAATTATGCAAAAGCCCGTCGGTAATTGCCGAGTAAATTGTTGACTTTCCGGTCAATACCGATCATATTTGCCGACTCGCTCATGTGTACGAGAGAATTCTTATTATGGTAACATGTAGAATCTACCATTGTTAGTTGAGTTAATTAGCAAGGAACGTGTAAATAAAGGAAAGAAAAAGAGGAAGAGAAAGAGAGAGAGAGAGAGAGAGAGAGAGAGAGAGAAAAGAGTGCAGCAATCTCTATAAAACTACACGCAGGAAAGGTAACCGAAGGACCAAATTCCACCAAATGGAATTACTTAGAGCAAACGCGTTACTTTTTCAGGCGCCATTATCCGATCGGCCGCTTCCCTTGTTACCAAGTCGCACGATGACCAAAGTACCCCCCCACTTACTGGTTACATTCGATTCCAAGGGTTGCACGCCGATGTGTGTTCCATTCCTGGTTCTTGCCCGTGGGTAGGTTCCATCAGAGTTTCCTCCCCAGCCGCCTACCCTCTTTCCGTTGCGCGGTTCCGTCCGAACACGGTCACATGCATATGCAAATTTATTCTACCGTTGCATTAGTACGAGTTCCCGCATATCCATGTGTGTGCTCATATCCGTGAGATGCGCCCGGCCACGACACATCGCGCGGCGCGTGTATGCGTGCATGGACCCGTCGTCCCAGGCTGATCGCGGCGGAGAGGGTCATAAATTAAATGATGTAAATGCTCTGTCCACCCTCTGTCGCAGCGAGCAGTGACGACACACAGAGACACACGCCACTCCCTCACGTTCACCGTCGTCCTTTCCCCGCTGCCGCTACCTCGCCTCCCTCCTCACGGATCGCCAACCCTGACCCCGACGATCGTCGCTATCCCCCTCGCCACGATGTTGGACCAACCGACTACTGATTATAATTATCGGGACGCATATACTCCGATCCTCGGATCTCGCTCATGCAGGATAAAAGTGAGGGAATAACGGCGAGAATACGCGCGAGTTATTTGTTACGTTAGTTTTGCAAAATGTAATGAACGCGATGTTTGAAGCTTATCACGATATGCATGATCCGATACCAAAGGGATCATTACGAGTGATCTCGAGGTCTGAAATTCGCGCCAATGTTCCATAGTGAAATTCTTTGATTAAGTCAGAGTCCATTTTTCCTAATAAAAATAATTGAATTCTTCTTAGGAAAAATTGTATAAAACATTGACATGAGTTTTTAGATTTTGTAAATTTCTGCTCAAATAAAGTCAAATTTAAATTGAAAGATGTAAGATTATTTTATACATTATTTATCTGTTAGCGATTTTGAAGTTCAACTCGACAAAATCCTTTCATTATTATTCTCTTATTCCTTATCTCTTCATGCTAAGAAAAAAATTTATTGTTTTCTTTACTCCCTCGCTTCTCGGGAAAACGCACACATTTCGGAGAGGAATCGGCACTTAACGGGGGGTTATCCGAAAACCTACGTTATCTATTTATACCTCTCAATATCCGGTTCGCCGATATTTATCTCCTTTCTTTTCCATCTTCGACCGTAGCACGGAAGAATAAGTGCTCGGCAGATTCCCGTCGAGCGATCGATAAGCGCAAGCTCTGACCTGATTTCGTCTTGATGTTAACTCTCGGCGAGGAGAGACAGAGAAAACGCAGAGGCCTTCGATCGGAGATAGAAAGGATCGGCAGGATCGCTAAGCCCTGCTCTCAATCGGATTCGAATTTGATAGTATTTGAACAGCCAGCGTCGTTCTCGTAAATTCGGCACGCCGTTTGTGTTACCCCGTTCTCTCCTACCCTACCTTCCTCCCATCCCCTATGCCACTCTTGGCTCCCTTCTTCACGCGATTCGATATTTGGTTCGGCGCAGATAACCGCTATCGACTGTTGTCACCCGTTTTCCTAAAGAACGAATCGTGTTTGCAATGAGCCGGTAGTAACTTTCGTCTCTACAAACTACCGCGCGTTCAAACAGATCCGGATACAAACGAACGCGCTGATCGTCGATTACAAACAATACTCCATTGAGAATTTCAGAAAGAAAATAAACAATATTTTAGAAAAATAATTATCGCCTATCAAAACTCAATACTTTTTTTGTTATTCTAGAATATCTGAAAAATCCTCCTCTATTATAATATTACAGAATGGAAACAAACATATCTCGAAGTATATTTAATTATTCGACATAATTAATCATCTAAAGAAAAAAAAAACTATTGTATCTAGACTCACCGAATTTTCTTGTTTAAAATATCGCTCTATATTGTCGCTTTTATATGTACCGAGATTTGTTGATCCTGTGTACAAATATAAATTAACAACAAAATAGTTAAAATACCTAAATCAAAACTTAAAAAATCTTATAGTTGTTAAGTGCCGAAATATCTTTGTCTCAAATTAATATAATAAAATTTAATTTTATGCTCGACAGAAAAAAAAATATATAGGTACGATTTTTCTACTCATTCAATAACACATGGCTCGCTCGGTTATTGCAATGACTTACAAAATGTTGATTAATACAGTGCAGAATTGTTCGTCCGATTCGCGTTCGATCTACGTTGTTCTCGGAAGATGTACCCGTAAAATTTACCGAAGTCGTTACCCATCTCGGTCTTATGAAGGTTATTTATCCAATCCGGCGCCGCGCTCGCCGCAACCTTATATCGAGTTCATGCGATATACGTCCGTGATGTTCGCGGCCGAGCGCGCTTCCACCCTGAACGTAAAGCCGATGAAAATGCATTGGCCGTAAATAACGTCGGTCGGGTTTCGAAGGCGCGCACCCGCGCTTACAAGGAGATAAAATCAACTTGACCTCGTTCCATCCCCCAACTGCATTTTCAACTTCTTGTGCTTCGTGTTGTCTTCGG